ATTCATAACATTTTTCACAGAACCAGAACAAATCATCCTAAAATTTATATGGAATCACAAAAGACCCAGAATTGCCAAAGCAATACTGAAGGAAATGAAGCTGGAGGAATAACCCTCCCAGACTTCAGGCAATCAAAAAACAAACAACAACAACAACAACAACAACAACAACAACAAAAAACAAAACTACAAGGCTACAGTAATCAAAACAGCGTGGTATTGGCACAAAAACAGATATATGGACCAATGAAACAGAACAGAGAGTCTGAAAATAAGCCCACACACTTATGGTCAATTAATCTTCAATAAAGGAGGCAAGAATATACAATGGAGAAAAGGCAGTCTTTTCAGCAAATGGTGTTGGGAAAGCTGGATAGCTGCAAGAAAATCAATGAAATTGTGACACTCACACCATACACAAAAATAAACTCAAAATGGCTTAAAGACTTCAATATAAGACATGACACCATTAAACTCCTAGAAGAGAACAAAGGCAAAACATTCTCGGACAGAAACTGTACCAGTGTTTTCTTATGTCAGTCTCCCAAGGCAATGGAAATAAAAGCAAAAATAAACAAATGATATCTAACCAAACTTATAAGCTTTTGCACAGCAAAGGAAACCATAAATAAAACTGAAAGACAAATTATGGACTGGGAGAAAATACTGGCAAAAGATGTGACAACAAGGGCTTATTCCAAAATATACAAACAGCTCATACAACTCAGTAACAAAAAAACAAAAAACTCAATCAAAAAATGGGCAGAAGACCTAAACAAGCAATTCTCCATAAAGACATACAAATGGCCAATAGGTACATGAAAAAATGCTCAATATCGCTAATTATCAGAGACAAGCAAATCAAAACTACAATGAGGTATCACTTCACACTAGTCTGAATGGCCATCATTCAAAAGTCCATGAATGATAAAAGCTGGAGAGGGTGTGGAGAAAAGGGAAGCCTCCTACACTGTTGATGGGAATGCAGTTTGGTGTAGCCATCAAGAAAAACAGTATGGAGATTCCTTCAAAAACTGAAAATAGACTTACCGTATGATCCAGCAATCCCACTACTGGGCATTTATCTGGAGGGAATTCTAATTCAAAAAGATATATGCACACCATGTTCACAGCAGCACTATTTACAATAGCCAAGACATGGAAACAACCCAAATATCCATCAACAGATGACCGGATAAAGAAGATGTGGTATATTTATACAATGGAATACTACTCAGCTGTAAGAAAGAATAAAATAATGCCATTTGCAGCAACATGGATGACCTAGAAATTAACATACTAAGTGAAGTAAGTCAGAAAGAGAAAGACAAATCATCACTTATATGTGGAATCTAAAATATGACACAAATGAACTAATTTATGAAACAGGAACACTCACTGACTTAGAAAACAAAAAGGGAAAGAGGGCAGGGGAAGAATAAATCAGAAGTTTGGAATTAACAGACACAAACTACTACATAAAACAGGTAACAAGGACCTACTGAATTGCACAGGGAACTATATTCAATATCTTGTAATAATAGCCTATAATGGAAAAGAATCTAAAAAAGAACATACTTATATATGGGAATCACTTTTCTGTACACCAGAAACTAACATGACATTGTAAATTAACTGTATGTCAGTATAAGTAAATGCATGAACTCATACATCCGTATCTGCATCACGCAGCCCTGATAGGAGGCGCTAAGAAGGGCACACCACCTCTTGTGGAAGCCTTCCCAACAACGCACCACTTCAACCGAGTAGGAGAAAACTTCAGATCAACCCAAACAGAAGAAAATTCAAAAAAGTAATTGGTCCTCTTCAAAAACGTCAAGGTGGTAAAAGACAAGGAAAGACTGAGGAACCGTCACAGACTGAGGGGCACTAAGGAAATGGGACAACTAAATGCAGTGTGGGATCCTGGAACAGAAAAAGGACATAAGTGAGATAACTGGTAAAATCTGCACAAACTCTGTAGTTGAGTTAACAGTTTGTAAACAAGGCAAAGTTCTTATTTTTGATCACTGGCCTAGGGTTATGTAAGATGTTAAGAAAAGGAGAAGCTGGGTAAAGGGTATATGTGAACACTCTCAAGATTTTTGCATCTCTTTTGTAAATCTAAAATTATCTCAAAATTAAAAAATTTTAAATGGGACAATAATTAGTTTTTAATTATTAAGTATCAAAATGCTAGGTTTGGCTGAAGTATGATGAATTGGAAAAAGTACTAGGATAGGAATTCACTCCGTCCTTGCCAGTGCTGTTGAACAACCTCCCTGAACCTCATGTTTCTCTGCCAAATGGGCATGACACACAGTTCATCTCCCTCAAAGGTCACTTAAGGATTCAATGACACAGTGGGTCTAAGTTGTCCAGAAATGATACGCCCGTGTACAATGCAGGCCTTGCTGCTTCATCTTTAGGCCCAGGAGAAAACACTGTGACGGAGAAATTTTCTAGGACCAAATGAGATCATCTAAATACTAAAAGACTAAATAATGAAGCTAAGAGAAAATATGCCCTTCAGTAAAAGGAGAAAAAATTAAAAGGGAAACAAACAAATAAAAAAAGGCTGGGACTCTGTTAGGGTGTTCTAGAAAGGACCAGAAAATGGACCAAGTACAGTAGAGCAACTGATTGGAAATCTGGGCCTACTGCTCATAACATATTTACACTGTGGGTGATGGCAGTCACAAAAGTGAGAGGCTGGGGAAGAGATCTCTTTTGCACCAGATCTCCTGCAGATCAGATCAGGAACAATCAATGTGTCTTCTCCTATGCCTCTTCCTTCCTCACTGCCACCTAAAATCTAGCAGGTATACTGCATTAGGGAAAAGGGAACCATGAAGGTTCCTGCTAACACTGAGGAGCTGGGTGCAGGCTTAGTATGTAGCACACGGTGTGGGGGGGGTGTCTTACTTTTCAGCGATTCCACTAGTAAAAGCAAACAGGTCCTTCATCTTTGAAGAAGTTTTTTGCTCTTTCAGTCTTATTATGATTCTAGAATGAATAAAATAGAAGCTGCCCAACACCCCATATCACAAAACTAAGTACATGTGATTTCTTTGACTTAAAAATCATGTTTTCTCAAATCCAAACCAAAAAACCCCGTGAAATTCCCATTAATATAAATGACAGAGCAGAAGTCAGCAAACTTTATCAGAAAAGGGTGTGAGAGTAAATATTTTAGGCGCTGGGGCCATTTGTTTCTCAACTCTGCCTTGTAGGACAAAAGCAGCTATGGACAATCGGTAAATAAATGGATGTTGCTATGTGCCAATAAAACTTTATTTACAAAAACAGCCAATTTGGGCCAAGGACAGAAGTCTGTCTACACCTACAGAGAATGCCAGATAGATACTTGTTAACTGAATTCTAGAGGTTTTCCTCAGTGGACTGTGAATTTGTATACGCTGCGTATTTCCTGCTGTTTCGTAATGCACAAATAACACAGTACTTGAGGTGAGCTGGAGCCCAACAAGACAGACATGATTTTCATCATCACAGGAGAACTGCTTGAGCACATCATTTAGCTACCTACAAGTTTTTGGGGGTTTTTTTGGTGTATGTGTATGAAAACTGTTGTTGACTTTAATTACAAAAAAAGAGAATTTTATGCCAGGAGGGCAGTTACAAATAATTTCTTTAGAAGCTTACTTTTTTTGCTTTTCAAAAGGTAAGACTGCTCTTAAATATGGAATCAGAATATGGTACAAATGGCTTGGGTTCCTAAAATACATGAGACGATAATATACCAGTTAAGTTCAAACAGTTTTCCCTATACAGGTTTTGTGCAAGCATAAAGAAATAAATATCTTCAAATTTTCCTACAGCTATAAATGTCTTGTTGACATAGTGAACTCAAACTCCACCAGTGTAAAAGGGTCTCAATCAAATCTCAATTTATCTAAAATAAGGGCAGCACTCCTAATTGTTTTTATACATAACCTGAGAGCAAAAGCCAGAAAAATACTTGCAATCCAAAATGTCCTGTCATTCAAATATCACTGTGCCATTCTGGGGAATCCACTGACTAAAAAACCCTCAAGGTCATGAAAAATAAGAGTAAAGATTAAGAACATTTATGCTTAAAAAGAGAAACAAATACTTGCCCCCAATAAAGGACAGAAAGACACCTCAGAATGCCATTATTATGGATTAATGACCCATGAGAATCTCATGATTAAATCACTAGCACCAAAAGCTAGTAAAAGCTCTTACAAGTGAATTTCCCTAAATGAATAGTCTGTTCTCAGGTTTCTCTTACTTCTTAACCACATGTGGTTTTCCATATTTTGAAAATAAGAATTATAAAGGTATATGGAAAAGCACTCAGTTCTATACCAAATACAGGTCAAGAAATGACCAGGCAATAGCGAGAGATTCAAAGTGGAGTCAATCACATTTGCATTTATGGATTCTGAGAAGCCTCACACACACACACACACACACACACACACACACACACACACACACACACACACACACACACACACACATTCCTACAAAATCAATTCTTACTATGGCTTGCTCTCAACACTAAAGCTGCAAAATTCTTTTAGTTTCAGCCATTACAACATAGTATAGAAATAAGAGAAAGTTGGATTTAAAGTATGGTCTCATCAAAATGAAATGAACATGAATACATTTCCATTTAACACAAAATGGAATGTTTTAAAGAACTTACCGGTAATTTTTTAGAACACCACATCTGCATGATAAACTACCTAATAACAATACAACAGCACACCAGCACTATTGCAGTAAGCAAATGCTAGATTTTTACTTTTCATATGGCTATAGTACTTAAATATTTCCAACTAATTTAAGGAGAAAAAGTAACCATATACATCATGGAGACTACAAGTAAGTCTTCTAACTTCCCTGTGCATTTACTAACAGCTCAAAAGCCTCTACTACACACAGGAAACAGGAATAGAAAAAAGTGGGGGGGGGCTCCTGTCCCACTTTTAATAAATTGCAGAGGCATAACATTTTCTCAAGTTCATTTTATTAACAAAAAGTGCAAACTGTTTTGAACAAAAGCAAACCATGAATCACAGCATTCAGCAAAACATTAGATGTGGAAAAGGGAACATTATTCATTAAGTAAAAAATAAGCAGATGAGATGCCTCATACATATATATATATTATTATATATATATATTCATGCTTTTCTATAGTCTCTTAGTCAACTTTCAGTGTAATTTTCACAAACAGTACAGCAGCTCAAACACAAATGCAGGAACACAATGGCAAAGTTTGGCAATTATTTTGGACTAATTCTGAGTATGAAAGTAAACTTTATACCACAGTCTCACGTAAGATACTGTGTAGTATGTACGATCTTTAATGTACTGACACTGACATCAATGTTCAACTAATGAAAATAAAGGAGAAGAGAGGGCTTTAAAATACTTGTTGCACTATAGTTGTTTAGGAAGAAACAGGGAGAAAAATGAAATAATTTTGAATGATCTCACGTGTATGTGTTCATATGACCAGGAACATAACCAATCCACATTAACTTAATTCATTTAAAATTTGCAAAAGCCACAAAAGAAAGATTGTGTGCCATTACTCAGTGTGCCTGCACTTGCACAAACCAGGAAAGATAAATAAATTCACCCTAGTCAGTCAACATATTCCAAAGAGGAGATTCAGTCTAGCGTTACTAATAATAACATAATAAATTCACATGAAGTGTCTACAGGGCATAATCTACACATAAGTAAATTTTCTGTTCACTAATCTACAGGCGCTAAAGAAACTATAAACTGTGATTAAAACCCAAGACATGAGGGTGGTCGTTTAAACACAACTGAGTATCTAGCCAAGGGCAGAAGAGCACCGATGCTGAGCGGGTAACTGAGCGCGTGCACTGTCTCTAGGTACATTTTCTGGCAGTTAATTGCTCGTCTGTTGTTGCAGACAGACTGCCTTTTATGAATATACTAATTGACTAAATTAATTGAGGACTACACTGCTATTTCATTACAATACACAAAATTCCTCCCACACTGTTAATTTTTCCTTATATACTAATGTCTTATCACTAGAATTGTGCTACTTTCTAAAGTTTCAGAATTACTATTTCACGTAGAGACAATGAAAAAAATAAGACCAAATCTGATTATCTGACTGATGACAAGTTTAAGCACCAACCACTGCCAATTTCAGTGTCAAGGTAGCTTGCAAGTCAGTTCTCTTGATTTGAAAATTACCTTCCGCTGTTTTCATCAGTATTGAAGCTGAGATCTTCAGGGCCAATTTGTTCACCATCAGGAAAACTGGAATGCGTATCTAGGATAAAAAAAATTTAAAGCAGGTAACAGTTTTTAAAGACCAGTATATTCTTTTCCATATCTCTAAATGATCTTATCAAGTATGTTATTTAAGTGATAAAGATGTGCTAGGTTGTGAACAAATCTGTTTTCAGAGAATTTTTGACCTGAGTCAAGTATAAGCAAACATGAAAGTAAAAATAAAGAGAAAACAAAATGTGTAATAGACACCCATAATTAGAACATGAAAGGCATTGCCTCCCCTTGTCCTCCTGGGGACAATGTGGGAACAGCTGAAGACGGGAACAGGAAACAATGATAATGTACACTCTGAAGACTGATTTTGTAAACAAATGTATTTCAGAGCCAATTAAACTGCACATGGAAATATCACTATAAAAACCCATCAGTACTCAAAATAACTTACCCCAAATTTGGCTGCTTCTTTTAGAAGCAGAGAAAATTACTAAGAGTATCTTAATACCTAAGTATCAACAAACACTTGGCTCTTTATTGAAAAAGACACTAGGATATCAGGGAAATATGTAAACTATGAAACTGACAATCAGCAGAAGCCTGACAATGTCGTCATTCCAGGAACTCTCACAAAGGAACACCTGAGTAATCCTGGGTAACATATTTAAAACAGGTGATGGATGTTAACTAAACTTACTGTGGTGATCCTTTTGTAATGTACACTATATCAAATCATTATGTTGTACATTTAAAATAAAATAAACCAAAACTACTAACAATGGGTTCTCTCCATGAGTTTTTCCCCTAAGACTTTTTTGGGAGGAAGAAGGAATAAAATCGGTGACTCCATTTTCTGCATGCATTCCTAAAAGGTCAGAAAAAGTTACCTTTAAAAAAGTTATCTTACGAGGTAGGCTACATATATCTCTGAAAAGAACAAACAAACATCTGAAACCTCCTCAGGGGCTGGCAAACATTTTCTATAAAATGGCAGACAGTAAACATTCAGGTACTTGCAGGACACAAATGGTCTCTACTGAAGAGTCTTCTTTGTTTTGCTTGGTTTTACAACTCTTTACAACGTGAAAGACATTCTTAGGTCACAGTCTGTACCAGAGACAGATGCCAACACCTGCTCCACCTAACAGATGTCTGACCAGGCAACTACCAAGTTTACCTACCAAATATTTTCAGTACTCACCATTTAGTTTACCCCACAGAATGCTGTCTCACAAATGACAGTAATTTTAAATAGGAAAAGAAGCAGAAGCAGCAAAGCAGAAGAAGAAACAGAAGCAAAGGAAGAAGCAGCAGCAGCAGCAACAGGAGAGATGGTTTTATTAATCCCTGTGAAATGACATCATGTGCTGCACCTTCATCTGGGGGCTGCGCCATGAAAGAGTCGCTAAATCCGCCCATGCCGGTGTGCTCTTCCTGCTCCTCATTCTCAGTGTCACACTCAATATCACTGTCGCTACTCATTCCTGGCAGGAAAGAAAGGGAGAACATGTTTCGGGTAAGAAACCACTGCAAGGAAAAGGCAATCTCCCTATCTACTAAACTGAGATTCCTCCTGAATGTTACACTGAATGCCAACACACCAAGCAAACAAAACAAGGAAAAAAGTAACCACATAAACTTCAGCTCTCTTTAGTTATTTAGAGCAGTGTTTATTTTTGTTCTCAAAGATTAAAAATGCCCTTTTCACAGTACCTGAAAATTTATAATTTGAAAACAGTATTAATTTCATTATACTGAGAATATTTTTCCAAAGCAAACAGTTTTCTTCTAGTCATAAGAGATAAGAGGAACTTTTAATCCTGATTCAACGTAGTTTCTAACCTAAAACATATATAAACATACATAAACACAGGCACAGATTTACACTTTTATCTATGCGTGTGTATAAAAAATTCCAGTAATTCTAGCAATAAATGAGTTACTATCACATTTGGACCTCCAATTTTGTTTTTTTGCATATAAGTTGATTTTTAAAAGAAAAGTTCTATAGAATGCTTATAGTACAGAAAGTACTTCTATTTCAGTGAGAGTGATCAAGAAAATCTGAAAATCCTTCTGCTGCAAACCTTTATAAATACTAGATAAAATATAAACTTAAAAATTACTTTAATGAACAGCCACATTTAAAAGAAAGAAGGGAAACCCAAAGGTATAGAAACAAAAAGAAAACTACTGGGGTAGATGCAGTTGCCCGAGAGCTTGATGTGAAGGCCTTTAACACTCCTTTGGGGATAGGGAAAAAAAAACTTTGGATCCACCACAGACATAGGGTTGAAACTGAGACTAAAACTCCAGTCTCTGCACATAGCTAAAATTCTTATTAAAAGAATAAACTAAAAAATTCTGCCTACTGGCACAGGAAGATGGCAAGGAATTTTGTCTTGTTTCTAGGCTCAGCTCACCTCAAAATTCAAAGTAAGGCCTGTGTGCTTAATTTAAGTTTGAGATTGAAAGCTGAGGTTCAAATCTTAAGAAATTAACATAAAAATTGGTCAGGAGCTAGTGTTATCTGAATAAAGCAAATGTAAAATCCTCTGGAGGGAAGGTTCCAGGTAACATGGAATAAGCCCATTCCACTCCGTCTTTCCCACTAAGTGCAGTTAAAAAAACCTGGACAGCATGCATGAAGTGGCTACTTAAGGACTCCGAAAAGTAAACAGGAACCGGCAGACTGGTGTGGACCAGAATTTGAAATACCAATAAATGGGCAAATTTAAACAACACCCAGAGTCTCATGACATCATATTAAAAATGTCCAGAATGCAATTTAAAATTGCTTCGGCATATGGAAAACCAGGTAAAGACAAGCAGCAAACAACAATGCTGAGATGACAGAGATGTTGGAATTATCTAACACGGATTAAAGCGGATGTAAGAAGACTCGTGAACAATCTTGAAACATATTTAAAAGACCTCTCTGGTGGGAAGCTTCCACAATCCAGGTCACAAGAATTACCACAGGAAAAAAGAAAGTGGAAAAAAAGAAAAAAAGAAAAAAAAGAAAAAAAAAAAGGAATTCTCACAAGGGAGAGAAAAAGTCTCAGAAAGCTATGTTCTTAAAAAAAAAAAGAGTTGTCTATTTTCTTTAGTATTTTATTTATCATTGTATTATTTAATTATTTTATTTTGGGGGTAGGTAATTAGGTTAATTTATTTTTAGAGGACGTACTGGGGGTTGAACCTAGGACCTCACGTATGCTAAACATGTGCTGTACCACTAGAGCTATACCTTTCCCTCAGAACACTATATTCTAATCAAAATTTACAAACAAGGCAGACAATCCACCTGACGTAAGAGTCAAGCAGATATACATAGAAGGACAATAACACAAGTTTTTCATAAAGTCACCTGAGAGAGACTACACAATTCAGTTTAATGTGGAAAAAAGTATAGATTTAAAAAAATTACTAAATAGACTTTCCAGAAATGAAATACAGTCATTAAAGTTAAAATAATAGATGAATTTAAACAAGGTTGAAAAACTTAAAGATAGAACTGATAAAATTAACCAGAATATTAAAAAAAATGACTATTACATAAAAGATACTATGAAACAAGGGATAAATGAGAATAAAAGTTCAAACTGTATCAACTAGACAGCCATAGGGACAGCAAAGGCGAGACAAAAGGAGAAAATGGCTGAGAATTTTTCAGAATTAATGGAAAGTACTCTGAATCGAATAAAAATAAAATTACAACATATCAAAAGTTTAGGGATGTGGCAACAGCAGTGCTTAAAGAGAAATTTATAGCATTAAACACTTACATTAGAAGAGAAAAAGGCCTCAAATTAATGACCTAAGCATCTACTTTAAGAAACTAGAAAAAAAGAGTAAATAAGCTAAAGTAAAAGAAAGGAAATAAACAGAAATAAAATTAGCAGGAAAGAATAGAGAAATCAGTAAAATAAGAAGACAGTTCTTTGGAAAGGTAAATACAACAGAAAGGTTCCTAGGCAGACTAAGAAAAAAAGAGAGCAAACAAAACTAGTAACATTGGGAATGTAAGAGGGGACATCACTACAGGTTCTACAGACATCTTAGATAAAAATGGAACACTATAAAAAACTTAGTGCTCATCAAATCAAGAACACAGATGAAATGAACATTATTTGATAGACACAAAATACCAAAATCATTCAGGTAAAAATAGATAATCTAAATAGGTACTTTAACTATTAAGGAAATGGAATTTAATAGTTTAAAAAATTCCAACAAAGAAAACTGCAGCCCCTGATGGCTTTATTGGTGAATTTTTCCTCCTCTGTTTTTAAGAAGCGTTTGCGTAGTATTGTGTAGCATTATTTCTCCCTTAAATATTCTGAAGATATAGGCTGGATGTATGGATGTTTGAAATGATGTATGTATGTATGTTTGAAATCTCCTTCCTGAGCAAAGGAAAAAGCTTCCCTGCTCTAGGAAGTCAAAAGTGACACATTACAGACCAGAACCACCAACTTGCATGAAGCATCATCTCCACCTTGTGGCCCTTCATGGAACTGTTGCTGAGAACCCTAAACCCAACAACTTGAAATTCTAGACACAAATTTGGCCTCTTGGTACTATGGTTTCTGAATTCCTGACATACATTAAACTCCAGGAGTCACAAAAAAGGAATTGGAATTCTCAGGAATTCTCAAAATCTTAAGTTATTTAAATACTTACAATGTATCTTTAAATTTTTTAAATTTAGTTTGTAGTATTTACAAGAACTGTAGCTTACAATGAATATTAAAATCCTGAAAAATGCTCTGAACATTATTGTGTTAACAGTTGAATAATGTAACATTTAGAACTCTTAGCAAAGTTTATAGCACACTACATAGACTCACATGTCAAAAATGCCAATATACAGAATTATTCTGCTTCCAAAACTTCCTATGTCTTGGAACACCACTCATGAAACTCCTGTACAGTTCAATACAGACTCATTAATATTTACACAGCAGCAGACAGGGCCATGGACACATCCTTATGAAATGACAATATCTGTAACCAGGACTGATTTGATCACAATTGCTTCTTTCCAAGGTGCTCCTGTTGATCTTAGCCTTTGATTTCAGGTACCAGCATTTCCAGTTTATACTTTCAACTTATCATAAGGGAATTCCTTCAAAGCAGTCATGTTTCTGTGCTGACTGTTAAGAATAACTCTAACAGGAGAATTAGAATAATTTTTTCTTATTTTTTTTTGATTTCTTGACTCATTTTTCTCAGGATTTAGGAAAACATGTATTTCTTAAGAAATGTTGAAAGGGAATTCCTGCAAGAAAATACTGCTTGGTCTTTCATTAAGTCCTGAGATCTTAAGTTCCCTAGCTTTGTGAATGTAATGAGAAAGACAAATTGGTCTCTTGACCTCTAGTTTAAAGCTGGCCTGCTGGTCACCAGGTCCTGTACAAACCATTGCCATCAGTGAGAGGGAGTAAATACAAGGTCATACACTTTCATTTTTTGGAAATGAAACTAGCCACTGTGAAGCAATAGGTCACAAGCTATTTGCTGTGTGCCTTGCCCCATACATTGCAATGTCTAACCTCTAGCTATTTACCTAGAAAAAATTGAGATAATGTGAATTTATGAGGTGAAGGCTGAAATTTAAAAGTCCAAGTCATCCCTCACATACTTTAACATGCTTCTAACGAGTTTTCCTGTCCACAGGGTTCCACATGCCATCCTACTCCCTCAAATCCATTCCCCTCAACGTAGCTAGAGTAGGAATGTTTAATTTTATTATCTAATTTCTTGCTTAGATCCCATTTAAAGGACAAAGTCCAAATTCTAGCTAGACATACAGAGCAACTCTTCATGATCTGACCTCTGCCTCCACTCTGGCCCCATCTTCACCTAACTCAAACTCATCCCTTAGGATAATCTTTCTAACGGTGGACTAGGTTAGTAGAGAGGTGACAGTTAAAAGCACTGGCTCTGTGACTTTGAGTAAAATAAGTTACATCTCTAGGTGTCTGCCTACTCATCTGTAAAATGAAGATAATAAAGTAACTACCATGTAGGGCTGTATTAAGAAAATGTAAGATAATACTGGTAAAGCTTTAAGCAGTCTCTAACACATAACAAGGACTTACAAATATTATCTATTATTTCTATTATTACATATCTGCTGTTTGAGCTCCCTATATATCCTATCACAGCATTCATCATTTTATAACTGGTTATTAACTGGCCTCCAACACCTGACCAGCGGTTTTGAACGGCTCTCCCTGCCCCCTCCCACCAACACATATATTCAGCATATCTGAGAACTACAACTTGCTCCCTCCCATTTGTAACTGTGACCTATTCTGGCAAGTGATTCTTGAAGAGTTGTCACCCCTGACTGAGAGTTATTCAACTCAACCAGTGGTTCTCAACAGTTTTAGAGGATGATTTTGCCTCCCAGGGGACATTTGGCAATGTCCGGAGACATTTTGGTTACTGTAATTCAGAGGAGGTACTACCGGCACCTAGTGTTTTGTTAAAGCCAAGGATGCTGCTAAACATCCTACAATGCACAGGGCAGCCCCTTACAACAAAGAATCAGCTGGCCCAAAATGTCAGTGGTGCCAAGGGAGAGAAACCCTGAACTAATCGGTAGGTTCAGGAATTACTTTATCACCAGAACCAAATATAATGCCAGGCAAATTAGAAGCATTTCATAAATGCCGCATAAATAAAAGGAGCCTATAATTCCAGCACATGCTATAAAAGTTTAAGGCACTACAGTTTATAATCAGCATGTATAAATACATGGAAACTAGCTCATTCCCACAGATTCTTTCTATAAAGATCATCAATCATAATTTTTTTCCTTAATGTTTTAAAAATCAACAGTTCACTCTAAAACTCCTTTCCATTTAATCTCTTCTACTGAAATAATGCTGCCCGCCACAGGAGCACCAACTAAGAAGGAAAACCAAAATGTTTAGTGTTCTTCAACTGAAAAACCTGAAAATGCCACCACCCACACACACATTCTCACAGGGCAGCCAGAGGTAGATGCTGGCATCTTTATGTATGCTTTGAGCTACAATTCATCAGTCGTTGAAATTCAAATAACTGCAGAGGTGATAAGCGGCAGAGTTTCACTGAGAAATGAAATAAATTTCAATGTCAAATATTAGTAATAAAGTTGACATGCTTTCCTGCTAACATATAAAGGACAAGCAAGGGCAGCACACACAGCCTTGTTTCAAGACCTTCTGTTACTCAAAATTACACAGTATCTTCTATGCTTTTAGATAAAGAACAATGAACCTGGAAAAAAGAACAATGAACCTGGAAGAACATGTAGAAGAATACTAGAAATGTAATGGAGAATGAATTGGCAGAGTTGAAGTCAGTTACCATAAAGGATTTTTTAAACAGATAAAGTTTGAAATACTCCTGTAAGAGCAAAGCAATCTACAAACATTAATCAAGACTGACTTTAAAAGACGAGGTACTTGGGGGAAGGTAGAGCTCAAAGTGGTAGAGCTCATGCTTAGCATGCATGAGGTGTCCTGGGTTCAATCCCCAATATCTCCTCTAAAAAAAGTAAATAAATAAATAAACCGAATTACCTCCAACCCCCCCCCAAAGACATGGTACTTAATATTTAATATTCTAATTAGTTGTTTGGGGGCATGTTTTCCCCATAAGATAGTGAACATATGCAATTACGTCTTTTCATATTTAGCAAGACTTCAATGCCTATTATGTAGGTGGCGTAACATTTAATAAATGAGCCGATGAAGTATCTGCAGATTCTTCCCCCTGTAAATGTCCCTTCTAGTAAGACCTGTCCTTTTATGCAGTTATCCATTTTGCCTTCCCTTGTGCTTAATGTCCTAGTAAATCAAACACAGTGGCACAATGAATGCTGTTTTCAGATCAAACAGGTAGGACAGTAGATAATGTCTCAGTAACTGTTTTATTAAACCAACCACTCCCCACTACACCAGAAAAAGATCACTATTCCGCCTCCAACCTAATTAATGACTTTATCTCTTGCTTACCTTCCTCCGGGGCAGCTGAAGCTCCTTCAGGTAGTATAGGCTGTAATTCCCCAGTTTCAGAATTATTTTCCAAATCAGTCATCTGCATTCCTTCCAGGAGACCTCCTTTAGCATTAGTCCTCAAAGAGAGAGAAAATAACCTGATATTTTTGTATAACTAATCAGTGATACAATAATCTAGATTTTCTTCTTGCCCAGAAACTGAGTATCAAACTAAGGAGAGAATAGGGCACTGGTGTTTAGTACTAAATTTCAAGTTTTATTTTCAAAACATTCACTAGAAGACTCACAATGAAAAGTCATAAAGTCATGGATTACATTACTGTCCATATCCTGCGATAATGTATCAGAGTTTTGTAATTGTTATGATTGGGGGAACAGGGGTAAGGTACACACGCTCTATTACTTCTTATAAATTGCATGTGAATCTACAGTTATCTTAATAAGAGTTTCAATTTAAAATTAATATAAACAGAAGCCCTAAATAATTCGTCCTCACCAACACTGAACAACTTTTGAAATATACTGAGTGGAAAAACAAGGTGCACTTTTTGTATTTAAAGAGCCATATAGTAACAGCTACTTAAACATACCTAAAAACTGAGAAGACAGAACATATATAAAAAATTAAGAACCGAAAAACCAAAAAACAGAAAGAAAAAAAAGAGAGAACAAAAAACAACAGAAATATTTTTTAAATTAAATTAAATTAAAAAAATTAATAACAGCAATGTATGTGGGCAGGGGGTTGGAAAACAAAGCAGATGGGAGACAAAGATGGGGAAATTTTAACTTAATATTCTTTGTTTACTTCCATTTTTGAACCATTTATTATCAGTATTTAAAATTTTTGCTTACACTACTTTAAATCAGGCAAGGAAAAAAAAAAGACACAAGCTGGAAAACACCACAAGCCAGCCTGGCAACATAATTAACTGTAAAATGAGGGTTATAGATATGAGCTTTACACATTTATAAAGGATTTTACAGTCTAGAAAAAGGTGTACATTCATACACATTTAATCTTTATGACTAAAGGCAGATATAAATATCTCCATAACAAATAAAATAAAAAAACAAGTTGTAGCTTCACCTTGAAAGAAACATGTATAAAACCAGGCTAGGTAACAGGGGAGGGCAAGACAATCTCCAATGACTATAACAACTTTCCACTGCTTAAATTAGAGCTAGAACAGAAAACTATGGCACCAGCTGTTCTTTTGTATTTGGTAATTTATCCAGATCTTAAAACTGTATAAAATTAAGTAAACTTAAGGAATATTAATCTTTCTCTAAATTTAATTCAAATTTCTTTTCAAAGCCTCCAAGGTAGAACTATTCCATTGTTTGAAATTGGAGATGTATTTAATATCCATAGAATAGATCAGCAGATGGATATTAATGGCCCATCTAGCACATTCACAGACAGCACATTCCACAATCACACTCCTTTGAATGAATGGAAGTTTAACTGGCGTGGCTGGGATCTGAGTTTCTTTCCTGGGAGAGAGATAAAGGTACTGACAATATGTATTTCCCCTTTTGGGAAATTCCAACTATGTGTTTTAAAGACACTTTAATAAGGTGAGAGAAAAAAGGTGAGATAAAAACCGAAAAGTAATGTTAAAATAAAACTGCTAGAAGTGCTATACTCCAAACAAAATATGTGCAAAAGACCTATGGGACATAATACAGCCCAGCACAAATGTCTCTGAAAAGTGTGGAACAGATGGGGAAAAAAGTTGACACAAAAATCTCACAAAGAGTTCACACAAGGTTAAACAACATTATTAAAATTAGTGAAAATGAGCTCTAATATATTTAGACTGAATTTCTGGTACTATCTCATTCTGTTGAGGGAAAAAAAAGTAAGGTCTCTGATATTTTAAAAGTTACATTTTAATACTAAAAAATTAACAAAGTGGAAATTAATTTTGTTCATTATGTTGCAGACTTCAAGTGCCAAAGCTAGTAGCTATTATTCCATTACATAAACAAAAGAACTTAATTTACCCCAAGGTGACCATTTTTCTCCTTTTCTCTACCGTAGGTAAGCCATTAAAAACCGCAACCACAAGAGCACCTGAATCCAAAGCTTGACACTGCCGGTCTTCAGATTTCGGCAGAATGTCAGTGATACTGCCCTGTGTCAAGGCTCGGGGAGAACTATGCCTGCTCCCAGACTGAGTGCTTCCCGGGGAGCCTACAGAAGAGGAAGATATTCAGAAAGAAGGCAGACAAACAAAAAGTTCTCTCTCTACCTTCCATGTTAGGAGATCTCACTATTACCTACATTTTTAAACTGTAGGATAAGTCAAAAACAATTTTAATGTATATCCCAGTCTTTCTGATGCCAGGTATTTAAAATTCAGGAGTCCAGAATATGGAGTCTAATGGTTGCATTTTCTTCCTGATGGCTCTATTCTGTTGTGTGATCAAGGAACTTTCAAATTAAGTTTCAGCTATTTTGGTGCCTTTTAGAGGTCTGGTGCTATACCATAAGATCAATTTCAAATAACAGACATCTACCCACCAAAATTACGTTCTGAACTCTCCAAACTTACCTTCAGACAAAGTTTGACAGTCTCCTTTAGAACGGCTATTTTCCCCAGAGTCTACTGCTCTTCGAAGAGACAGACTACCTGCTATACTGGACCGAGCTGGCTTGGGTGAATTACTCTTCTTACTTGTGGCTGCAAAGACATTTAAAAACATTTCTGATTATGATAAAATAGCACAAAACTCATTACCTAGGCAGTCAGAGAAAGGTTTAATCTTATCATACAGGGAAGGTATTCCATCTACAGTGTCCAAAAATAAACAGAACACTCTGGTCCCAACTGGTTTATTTGGAGTTTTTTGCCAAAAGTATTCCTGTTTTGCTGTTTGTGGAGCAGTCTTCACTTACAAAAGTAGAAAAACATCAGTTAACTCCAACAGAAAAATCATACCAGACATGAACTCCAATCTCAATGCAATTAAATTAAATATTAACAACAACAAAAAACTCAAAGCACTTGGAAACTGTAAAATACTACTGGATGAAAAAGTAAATCAGTGCTGAAAGAAATGAACCACAATTATAATACTTCAAGATGTCTGTAGCTAAAACAGTAATTAGAAGAAAATGTACAGCCTTACAACAAATTAATTAGGAAAAAAAAGAAACTAAATGGCCCAACATGCAGACTCAAGAAGTTAGAAAAATAATAAAAAGAAATTAAAAGAAAGTAGAAGAGATGCACTAAAAGATAATAAACAGATTCAGTAAGGTAGGATGATATAAGAGCAATAATTGTCTTTTTATACATCAACAAAGAATAATCCCAGAATGAAATTAAGAAAACAGTTCCATTTACAGTAGCATCAAACAGAATAAAATACTTACGGGAAAATTTAACAAAGAAATGTAGGGCTTGTACATTGAAAACTATCATACATTACTGAAAGGAGTATAAAGAAGATAGGAAAAATACTTCACGTTCATTGGCTGGAAGACTTAATATTGTTAACACAGTAATACTCCCAAACTTGATCTATAAGATAGATTCAACACAACCTCTATAAAAATTTCAATCACCTTTTTTTTGCAGAAATTGACAAGCTGACCCTAAAATTCATAGAAAAATGTCTAAGATCCAGAATACCCCCAAACAATCTTGAATGGAGGACTCACACTTCTCATTTCACAATTTGCTGTAAAACTATAGTAATGAAGATTGTGGTACTGGTATAAGATAGAAATACAGATTAATGAAACAGTATTTAGACTCCAGAAATAAACCCTTACATTTATGGTCAATTAGTTTTTGACAAGGAGGCCAAGACAATTCAATGAGCAAAGAAAACAAAAACCATGGAAAATAACAAGTGTTGATAAGGATATGGAGAAACTGGAACCCCTATACTCTGCTGGAGAATGTAAATGGTGCAGTTACTTTGGAAACAGTATGGCACTGCCTCAAAAAGTAAAACGTAGTTCCCATATAACCTGGCAATTTCACTGTTAAGCATATACTTAGGATAAAAAAAAATGTCTGCACAAAAAATTGTACATGACTGTTCAAACAGCTTCATTATTCATAATAACCCAAAAGTAAAAAAAAAAAACCACACAAAAAAACAAAACAAACCCCCAAGTCCCCATCAACTAATGAGTAGATCAAACAAAAAGTGATACAGACATACCAGGAAGTATCATTCAGCCATAAAAAAGAATTGAAATACATGCTACTACATAGATGAAAACATTATGCTAAGTTAGAGAAACCAGATATAAAAGGCATTCATATTGTGTGATTCCATTTATATGACAAGTCCAGAAGAAACAAATCCATGCAGACAAAATAGACTAGTGGTTACTAGGGGATGGGGGAGGGGAAGATGGGGAGCAACAGCTTATGAGTATGGAGTTTATGGGAGAGAAGTGTTGAACATGTCCTAGACTTAGATGCTGTAAGAAAAATTATGATGATCAATTTTTCCACTGCAAAGTATACATAAAATATTGGTTAAGGAAAAAAATGAATACAAGATGCATTAACAGAAACAAAGGCAAAAACTAACATAATAATAGACAGAAAGCAGTAGATGTAATAAATCTAAGTATTAGGTCTTTGAAGAGATGAATAAAATGAATAAGCCTCTAGCAATTCAAATCAAGGGAAAAAATAAGAAAATACAAATAAGCAATGACATAACTGAACAAGTTAACACCCAATATTCAGAAGAAGTTTTTAAACTTTAAGGGAACAGAATAAGGGACCTTATACCAATGCATTAATCTAATAAAATGAGTAATTTTGTAAGAAAATTAATTACAAAAATTGATTTAAGAACTGGCAGAAATATGATGCCAATACACACTTAAAAATGAAAAAGGCTGTTAAAAGTTCTATTCCTGAAAGAACTCCTAGTTTTTTCAGTGAGTTTCATTAAACTTTTAACGAGCAGATAACATGTTAAATTTTAACAGCATAGAAAAGGGCAAAAGCTCCTGAATTTACTCTATGAGGCTGGCATAAAATAGGAACTCAAATGGGTTAAGGATAGTGTAATGAAACTATATAGCTCAATATTACTCATGACTACATAGTCAAGAATCCTAAGTAAAGTATTAGCAAACTGAGTATAGCAGTACAGTTAACCTTTGAACAATACAGGGACTAGGCGTGCCAACTCTCCAGAGTCAAAAAACTGGGTATAACTTTATATTCAGCCCTCTTATCCCCAGTTCAGCTCCCACTGATTAAACCAACTGAGGGTTTATTGGAAAAAAAAATCTGCAGATAACAGGACTCACACAGGTCAAACCCATGTTGTTTAAGGGTCAACTGTATATTAAAAAATTACAGTGCTCACTTTGGCAGCACACATACTAAAATTAGAACGATACACAGAAGATTAGCATGGCCCCTGTGCAAGGATGACATGCAAATTCATGAAGCATTCCGTATTTTTTGTAAACTGGCTATACTTCAATTAAAAAAATTAATTAATTAAAAATCACAAACCATAACGAAGTAGAAAGATTCATTCTAGAATTTCAAAAATGGTCAATGTTAGATATATAATGTAATTCTCTATTCACAAAGTAATAGGGCAAAATAACATGATTATTTTGACGGATGACAAAAACGCATTTGATGTAATTCTATACAACTTCTTGATTTAAAAAAACCCCTTAGTAAGTAGGAAAAGAGGTAGTTTGGTGTAATGGGAGAACATAGGCTCTAAAGTTCAAGTTCCTGGCTCTGCGATTACTACCATCAAACTCTGAGGACCTTTGATTGCTCCCATGCCTCAGTTTCTTTATCTGTGAATTGGGGATAAAAATAACTTTCTTCATAGAGTTGTTGTTAGGATTCAGTGAGTTAAAACATTTGACTTAGAATAGTTAAGATACCTGGCAAAAAATAAACACTTAGTAAATGATAATCATTACTGCCGCGCTTGTTAAGAATGGAAGGATTTATCTTTCAACTTGATGAAAATTATGCATCGAAACAAACAGCAAAATTTGAACTTAATCAGGTAAAAAAAACTAAAGGAATTCTTAAATAGGGTTGGAAATACTATAAAAATTCTATTATTGCTATTAGTTAAATTGTTCTGAGGTCCCAGCCTCGACAACACAATATCAAAAGTAAATAAGCAGGAAAGGTGTGGACAAACTATGATTATTTGCTGATGATATGACTGTCTATTTAAGACAATTCCATACAATTGACTGAAAAACTCAGAATTAAAAATTTTCACTAAGTGGGCTGAATATAAGATAAACATATAAAACCAATAGTCTTCCTATAAGTCCATAACAAATAATTAGAAAATATTCCGGAGGGGAGGAAGAGATTTCATTCACAATAGCAGCCTAAGTTATAATATATCTAGAAATAAATATAACAAAACATATACAGAATTTATATGAAGAAAACTAAAGCTGAGGAAGTATACGTATGTAACAGATGACCTGACAAACGGAACTACCATACTCCTAGATGTGAATGCCTTAGTGCTGAGATGTCAGTTCCCCAAATTAAATGTCAATTAATGCATTAAATGTAACACAATTCCAGTTAAAATGTTTTTTCTAGAAGAGTAAATGTGTAAGAACCATCAAAGACACTCTGAAAACAAAAATAAAATGAAGGCAAACATAATACAATATAACAAACTATAAAACTATAATAGTTTGAAAAAAAGTGTAGGTCTGGTAGACAACACAACAAATATTTAGTTGAACAGTATCAAATTGCTGTTTTTGTATGTAAAAAAAAAGTTGCATATTGGCAATTTTAACTGCTTCAACCCATATGAATTTAAAAACAACCATGAAAATATAGGACTTGGTCTATAATATAAAGGATAAATTTCATACTGTTGGACAGAGTAGATTCTTCAAAAACCATGTTTCATTTACAGGAGAAAACAAATCACTGAACTCACTTCACACATCATCAAAGAAAATAAATTATACACGGAATAATGACCTAAATGTAAAAAACTTAAAAACAAAGCAAGAAGAAAGTAAGTGTTTTTTTATAAACTATAGTTGAAAAGGCCTTCCAAATAAAAACATCAAACTCCCAAACCATGAATATTATTAATAGATTTCAAAAATAAAAAACTTAAAACTTCATGTTTGGCAGAAAAAAAAACAAAAACAAACAAGTGACAATGGTGGGGAGGTATTTGCAGAAATAAGTAACAAAAGCTCTGCACAAAAATCCAACAAAAAGCATTATTTCTTTTGGTTTTAAATTGTCGTTTCCCTGACAACTAGATACGGTTGAGTATCTTTTCATACATTTACTGTCCATTTGTATTTCTTACGTTAATGGCCTAATCATAACCTTTATTCATTTTTCTATTAAACTGTCATCTTTATTTTAAGAGAACTATACGTATTTGGCAATTATCCCTTCTCTTATTCATCTTCACTAGATAGTACCAAGCATTAATATATCCAATTTTAACAAACACATGCATGGAAAGCCCAGAAATAAATCCTTGCACACATGGCCACATGATTTTCAGCAATGGTATCAAGACCATTCAAGAGGAAAGGAAAGTTTTTTCAACAAATGATCCTGGGAAAACAGCATACCCACACACAAAAATAAACCTGGACCTTTATCTAACACTATATACAACAATGAACTGAAAATGGATTCAAGACATCTATAAAGAGCTAAAACTATAAAACTCAAAAGAAGAAAACACTGGGGAAAATCTTCACAATGTTGGGTTTAGCAATGCTTTCTTGGCATGTGACACCAAAAGCAGAGGCAACAAAAGAAAAAAATAGATAAATTGTACATCAAAATTTAAAACGTTTAGCATCAAACGAATCTATCAACCGAATGAAAAGACAATCCACAGAATAGGAGAAGGTATTTGCAAACACATATCTGATAAGGGATTAACATCAAGAATATACAGGGAATTCTTAAAACTCAAAAACAGAAAACCAATCCAATTCAAATATGGGCAAAGGACTTGAATAGACACTGCTCCAAAAAAGATATATAAAGATGACTGATAAATACACGAAAAGATGCTCTCTCAACATCATTAATCATGAAGGAAATGGAAATCAAAACCACAATGATTTACATCCATTAGTATGGATATTATTTAAAAAAAAAGAAAAGAAAAGAATAAGTGTTGGGGAAGATGTGGAGAAATTGGAACCCTTGTGCAATGTTGGTGAGAATGTAAAATGGTACAACCTCTATGTTGAAAACAATAAGGCGGTGTTCCTCAAAAAATTAAAAATTGAATTACCATATGATCCAGTAATTCCACTTCATGATCCAGTAATTCCACTTCTGGGTATATATTATATGTCCAAGAAAACTAAAAGCAGGGTCTCAAAGAAATAAACAACCATGTTCATAGCTGCATTATTTGCAACGGCCAAAAAGTAGGTGCCAACTCAAGGAATAAATCAGGAGTTTGGGATTAACAGATACACACTACTAAAGATAAAACAGATAAAACAAGCACCTATTGTATAGCACAGGGAACTATATTCAATTTCGTATAATAAGCTATAATTGAAAAGAATCTGAAACTATATGTGTGTATATATATATGCATGTATATGTATAACTGAATTGCTTTGCTGTTCACCTGAAACTAACATTGTAAATAAACTACACTTCAATAAAAATAAAATTAAAAAAAAATAACAAATCCAAAAACAAAAGAAAAAGATGAATGGGTAAACAAATGGGTACGTACGTGTGTACACACACACACACACACACACACACACACACACGAATATTATGCAGCCATGAAAGGGAAAATAATTCTGACACATGCTACAATATGGATGAACCTTGAGGACATTATGCTAAATGAAGCAAGCCAACCACAAAAGGGCAAATACTGTATTTTTCCACTTATATGAGGTACCTAGAGTAATCAAAATCAGAGACAAAAAGCAAAATGGTGGCTGCCAGAGGATAAGGGAAGAAGGGAAAGTTATTGTTTAACAGGTATAAAGTTCAGTTTTGCAACATAAAGAAAGTTCTGTGGATGGATGGTGGTGCTGGCAGCACAACAATGTGCATGTACTTAGTGCCATTAATAAACAAGTACACTTAGCAGCTGGCTCCATAGCTCAGGGGTTAGAGCACTGGTCTTATAAAACAAGTACAATTAAAGAGTGAGATAGTAAGTTTTGTTTAACAAAATGTGGTAAAATTTACCATGATTAAAAAAAAATTTTTAATTAAACACAGAATTAAAATATGAGCCAGCAATCCCACTCTAGGAATACACCCCCAAAAATGGAAAGCACAGACTCAAACAGATATTTGCACATCCATGTTCACAGCCACATTATTAACAACAGCCAAAAAGTAGAACAACCTAGATATCCATCAACAGATAAATGGAAAAACATAATGTGGTTCATACATACATACAAGGGAATATTATTCAGCCTTCATAAGGAATGAAATTCTGACACATGCTACAACATGGATGAAACTTGAAGATATTATGTTAAAGTGAAATAAGTCAGACACAAAAAGACAAATATTTTATGACTCCACTTATATGAGATATCTACAGTAGTCAAGTTTATAGAAACAGAATGTAGAGCAGTGGTTACCAGAGGGTAGGGGAAAGGGGGAGTGGCAAGTTACTGTTCAATGGATATAGAATTCTGCTTTCGGGTGATGGAAAAGTTGTAGAGATGGACAGTGGTGATGACTGTACAACAATGTGAATGTACTCAATGCCACTGAATTATACAACAAAGAATAGTTAAAACTGTAAATTTTATGTTACATATATTTTACCACCAAAAAAAAAAGGATATATGCTTAAGAAAATGAAGACAACACACAGAAACAACAAACTCTTGACTCCGTACCCCCTCCAGGTACCACCCAATTTATTATGAAACTTCTTGAATGAGCTGAGCAATCATGCCCAGTTTCTCATCTCAGTCACTTCTGCTATACCCCTCTCCATGCGAATGGCTCTTAAAAGGGGCCACCCACCCTTCATTTTGACACCTCTCAATGGTATGACCACTCTTTCTTTTTGAGATCCTTTTTAAAAAAAATTTTGAGATATCAGTCCTTCTGATTTTTCTCCTACCTTAATGATTGCTCTTTTCAATTTCCTTCATGAGCCTCCCCTTTGTTACAAGGCTTTTAAATGTTTAAGTGCCCCAGAGCCAAAATTCCTCTTCTCCATTTAATCTCTGGCTTTCTTTAAACAGCATCTGATACCAGTGACTCCTATCTGTTTATATCCAACTTTAACCTCATAAGCTTCAGGCTTATGTGGAGTTCAACTGCCTATGAGACATTTTACTAAGATACCTTAAACCTTAACATGTTTGTTTATTTATTTGGGAGGGGTAATTAGGTTTGTTTATTTATTTATTTATTTATTTACTCTTTAATGGAGGCACTGGGGATTGAACCCAAGACCTCACGCATGCCAAGCGTACACTCTACTACTTGAGCTATACCCTCCCCCTGCAAACCCTAACATGTTTAACAAAGAATTCCTGACTTCCTGCCCCTATGACCCACAATCCCCACACCTGATTCTTCCTTGTTTGATATGCATTTCAATTAAAGACACCACCAGTCACTAAGATGCATAGACCAAAAACTTAAAGATCATTCTGAGTTTTTTCTTTCCCTAAAACCTTTCTTACTAGGGTTGTGGGAAATAATTGAGCCCTCCTGGTCTAAAATATGCACTGTATGTACTAGATTAACTTCTCTCCTACGTACCTAGAATAATACTAGCCATATACCCATCCTAGGGAGAATTAAGAAAGATGGGACCTCAGTCAAGAAAGGCTGCTAGACTACGAGCAAGCCCACCTACCCAGTGTAGTCAAGTCCAGAATAAGTCATCGTATATCACACAAGCTATTGTTACAGGCTGTTTACTGGTCTCACAACTTCCACTCTCAACCTTTTTCAGACCCCTCTCCACACAATAAGCAAAGTAATCTTTGTAAAAGGTAAATCAGATCGTAAACACTTCCCTGATTTTTATTCTCTAAAGAATTCTCCTAAAATCAGGATAAAACTCAAACTCCTCCCTGAAGTCTTCTTAGGACCCTACCTGATCTAGGAACTGCCCACCTCTGATTTCTCTCCTATTATTTACCTCTGCTTACTTAGTTCACCATGTTCAGCTCTACTGGTCGTCCTTTGAGCCGTCAAACACACAGAACAAATCCTGTATTAGAGACTTCGCATTTTCCATTCTGCTTACCCTGAACCAGTGCTTCCCCCAGATCTCTGCATGGCTGCTACCTTCTCAACCTTCAGATACCAGTTCAAATGCTGCCTCCTCAGATACGCTCTCAGACTACTTACCCTAAGTGAAATAGCACACTTCTCACTTGTGCTTTTCATCCCACTCCTCTGCTGTTTCCCTCACGGTAGTTTTTACCAACTGAAATTATGTTTATTGGGCTGTACATTTTAATGTCTGATTCTTACCAAATGAATACATGAAATGCAAGATCCATGGTTAAGGATTTTGTCTTGTTTGTTGCCCAGTATAGAATAAGAAATCAAGAAACAGCTCTGATACATAGCAAAAAATATAGAGTCAGTTTTGGGTGGGAGAAAAAGCTGTATATATTTGCAGTCTTAATTCATTGTGAGAAAGATGTTCAAACACTATTATTCTGAAAATAACCTGTCTTCTAACTTCCCAAATGAAACGTGGAGAAATAAAATCAGTAAGATTCTTTCACTTACAGTTTCGTATGTAACAACTGGCAGCTGATGACTTTGCCAAGAGCTCCATTCCCAAATCCTGTAATCTACCAGAGTTTTCGGTTCCACATGCAGCCAGAGCTGCCTGGTCAGCAGAAAGAAGGCCTGCTGGCATGTCTCCAGAAGCAGCATTGCTGCTTTTTATTTCTGAAAGTGTGTTCTTTACATCAGTTTTCATACATCGGACTTCAGCCATTTGAGTTTTGAGTCTTTTTAGCATCTTTAAATCAGAGGGAACTCGCCACATCGCCTGTTGCTTCCTTTGGTCTTTATCTTTTCGAGAATATGCTGCTTCAGAGAAAAAATGACAAGTCATGTTAGTATAGACTTTAACATTCATAAACCGATTTTGTACTATGAATATATAAGCAAATTTGATGTGTAAATAACCTAAGGTGCTTTAAGTGATAAAAGCATACATTAAATTCCATTAATGAAAAAAAGAGACACAAGTATCCTAACTTTATTCACACCCACAAAGTTAAAATCTGGGTCACATTACAATCACTCAAATCTGAATTATATATTTAATTCTAAAAGCTGCCCTACTGCCTGTGCTTTCTTTTTTTATACTTCTCCACTTCTCTCAAATTTTCTACACTGAGCTTTTATTATGTTCACAATTTAAAAAAAAAAGAACCTAAAAGCTAAACACTTAGTCAAATATGCTATAAATAGTATACAAAAATATATATTCTAACTAAATTTAAAAAGTT